CTACTGTGACCCGCTCGTAAGCTTGTTGCTTGGCGTTGTTTGATCATGCAGCTTCTTTCCCAGTCGAGGGGGCGCAAGGGCCGATGCTGGTTCTCAGACCCTGGTCAGATACTGATGTGACTAAGGCAATGAGCCACGTCTGCAGTCCCAAGGACAATCTTGCTAAGTGGGAGACTGATCTTCAGCAATTTGTCAGAGAATACCATACTAGCATGTCAGAGCTGCGGCGTCTGATGTGCATACTTCTGACACATGAGTATCACAAAGTTCAGAGTGTGTTCATCACCACAAGAATGGCTGCTCGCCTTAAAGATCCTGATTGTGAGCATGGCACAGATGTGGACATTAGAAGTGCTGTAGATGCTCTCATTATGTTGGTAAAAGAACAATTTCCTCTTAGACTGAACCTCCCCACCATCACCTCTATGACACAAGGGCCACAAGAAACATGCAGCTCATTTCTGGCACGCCTGACGACAGCCTTTGACATCCACAGTGGCCTTAAGCGACCTGATCCGATGGGGGCACAGCTCCTAATGCCATATGAAGTCCATCTGAAAGAACATTTTATAAGCAGAATGAGACCTGAACTTAAACGGATGGTGAAAAGATCATGTGTAACCTGGAAAACGTGTGCACTTGCAGACATCCTTCAGCACGCTGAACACGCTGAAGATGAGTTACACAAGAAAGAGGACAAACTAAAATGTTTTGAAAAGGCTCAGTATGCGATGTTTACGTCCTTGCAGTGCCAACAATTTGCCCAAGGCCAACGTGGAAGAGGAAGAGGTTATAGAAGAGCTTGTGGCAGAGGCAGATCAGATCGGATTTACGGGAATTATGATCCAAACGTGTGTTACAATTGTGGACAGCAACATGTGTTTGAGCTCAACATCAGATGGCATTTACAAAAAAAAGAAAAAAGACTAAATTGCAATTATTTTAGATGTTTAACTACAGTCCAAAAACCCTCCTGTATGTATATGGATGAAAACTACTAGCATACCTTGATGCATTAATTACTCATGACCATGTACAAATTGCACATACACACACAGTAGAAGATTACATGCATGAACATTACATTGCACATCCCATGTAAGCACAGGGCGAGATAGAAGGTATGTGGAAGTATGGCATGACCAAAAGTTGGAGAAAGAGAGATTATGGTTGAAGCATGTGTATTGGTCAGAGGAGGCTGCTGCGGTGTCTGTTTCTCTCTCTCCTTCCAAAAGGGAAAAACGTGGTAACGTAGATCATTCGAGTAGTGTACACAGAACAGTAGAGCTCGTTGAGGAATACACACAACACGCAGACTTGTATAGCCACCCAAACAAGAAGACATAAGGTGGTTTGTGAGGGGTTTTTTTCTTTATAGGGCGCGGCTATAAACGGATAGGATGTCCAGTGGGTTACCACGGAAGTCAGGTGTATTCCACAGAACCACTTAGAAACACCTTCAAAATGTATAACTCCCTGCAGGGTCAGCCCATCTAAATTATGTGGCTGATATGATGATTTGCAACCCATCAAAGGAGGCTTGTAAAATTGACACAATTTGGCTACTTAAACATTTGGCAGAGAACAGACATAAGGCTTGCCTAAAAAAAAATAAAAAAATAAAAAAAACTTACATTTGCTCTAGAACAAGTGACTTATCTGGGACATGTGATCACAGCTGAGGGCAAAATCCCTCTCTCCCAAATGTATTGGGGCAATTCAATTGGTACCAAAACCGATTACAAAAAACCCCGAATGATGAGTTATTTAGGGATGATTTCATACTGTAGTGGGTCCCAAAGTATATAGAAAGAGAGGCACCTCTCTCGTTCATGGTCCACGGTAAAGGCCTCAGCGCGCATGACAAACTGACTTGGACTACTGAAGCTGAAAAGGCTTTTCAGGACTTAAAGACTTCCTTATCACAGGCTCCGACTTTGGGCCTACCGAGACCTGACTTACCATAGACTCAGTTCGTAGACCAGAAGGACTGCTACATGACATCAGTTTGTGTCATCTTCATGGAGGAAAACTTAGGCCTGTTGCCTACTTCTCCTCAAAACTTGACCCCGTTGCTTCGGGTCTTCCTCTCTGTTTGCCAGCAGTGGCGGCAGCCGAGAGAGACATTTCTGCTCAGAGATGGTTGAGGTATCATACGACATTGTTAGAACTGCCTAACGTAATTGTCAAACGATGCGATGTTCTTAACCCAGCTACACTTCTTCTAACTGCAGATGATGGAGAGCCTCATGATTGTGTCGAAGTCTTGCAGCAGACATGCATACCAAGGCCTGATCTGTTGGACACAGCTCTTCCCAATGCAGATCTTGAGCTGTTTGAGGACGGCTCCGCTTCTCGCTCACCCGAAATAGGCAGCGGCCAGGAAACGAGGGAGCGGCTAAGAAGGCAGCCTCACAGGGCTGCCTTTTCCCCTTCACTCAAATGCTTTCCACACCGACCGATCCTAGTCCTTATGCCGATCTTCCCACACTTCAGTCTCTTTCCGGTGCAGAGGAGCATTCCCTGTGGAAACGATCTGGTGCCATTCTTGAGGGCGGAATCTGGACCAGACAGTGGGCCTTGCTTGCCACATGCTCTCTTCCACATTTATGCTAAGTTGTCTCACGGAAGAGATCACGTGGGCAAAGGGGGGATGTGCACTGCTATAAATGAGCATGCTGATATATTGTGCTAACCTCTCCCCCTCACTCTCAGCACTGCACGGGCAGGTAAAAGCGGTGCTTCCATCCCCGGCTACTGCAGTCCAGCACCACCTGAAACCAGGAGACTGGGTCCTCATTAAGGATCACCGGAGAAAGCACTGGAAGCAGAGACGCTACACAGGGCCGTTCCAAGTACTCCTGACCAAGGAGACAGCAGTTAAGGTGGAAGGGAAAGTGACGCGGGTCCAAGCCAGCCACTGCAAACACATCCCGGATCCAGGAGACGAAGGAGCACCTACATCTGGTTCCGGTTAAGGGGTTGCAGGGTGGAGAGCCCTCCCCCACTGCAGTGTTCCAAGACACCAACGAGCCCGGTAGAGATGGCACAGACGGCAGAGCAAGCAAGGACGGCAGCCACCCGGAGAACAGCGATAAAAGACAGATCTCCAGCGCCAAAGTCCCCTCACGATCAATGAACTACAACCTCCTTATGTGAACATCACAGATTCCAGCCTTCTCCATCTCTCCAATAAGGAATTCAGGAAGGAAAAATAAGTTTCCACTGTCCATCTAAACAGTGCAACGAGACTGAGTGTTTGCTCTACACTATCGAACATGATGCATGGGTTAAAATAGAAAGTCACGTAATTGAAGTTGTGTGTGTTCCCGGGGTAAGAAGAGATAGAGTATGTACTGTGTGGGTGTACGGAACATTTGATTTAGCAGATCCACCATTCTGGTGCAGTAAACCACGATCGTGTCAGGAGATACCAGCCTACACTGGCTCCAGCAACTGGAGGGAAAAATGCAAAATAACCTATCAGCTTGTCAGTGAGACCCAGCCTAAAACAGTACCACCTGAAATAATTTACGAGGCCATTAAACCACAGGCCCTGACCTGCCTCTGGCCAGAACAGCTCCCCACCAAAGCAACTTGGCGACGAGGTTTGATCTCCTTCAAGTGTCCAAGAGGGGGGTGTGCGAAGGAGGCTTGTAAAGCTTACCTGTTACGGATGAGCACGCCGCACTTAGGTCACTGGTCAGTCCTGAACTCAGAGGACTTTAGGACAAACAACACTTGCACAGTGACTCTAAGTCCTAAATATGACACAAGTTGGGAATACCCGTTCTGGTGCGGACTGTACGACGGAGCCAGCCCACTTCACTCGGCTAGATTGGCAGTATGCGTGCAAAGTAAGCCTACAGTTAAGAGAACTTCCAACCCGTACACCACCGTACGAGCATGACAATATTGCGTTGACTATTATGAATGATTTTGCTAACGAAAGGAATGTCTCTAATTGTTGGATATGTCAGCATATGCCCATTTCATCTAGAGCACCTATGCTGGTTCCTGTTCCATTCACGGAAGCCGAGCTGTCATGGGGTGGCCTGAGCTATCTCATCGATTTGTGAGTAATGATGAAGACTGTTACACTCCTCCACCGCACACGGCAACAACAGCGCAAAGCACAGTTGCCTATGAGGGTGAAAAGGGGGAAGTTGTAAGTTTTGCAGTTAAGCGGTTCAATGGTGAAAATAGACCTATAGGTATTAATCAAGTGATGTTGTTTAGATTAACCTATTACAAATGATATGTCCAACAGGGGTTAAGATATCAAGTGCAAATGACTCTCGGTGAGACTAATTGCACAGCTGACAGTGGAGTGTTAAAAGATGCATGTGCTCTCTTACCAAATACAGCATCTATTCGATTGGAGATGGGCATACAGGGCATTCCCTGGGAAAATGATTTTAAAGTCACACATTCGACTTGGAGTAGACATAATTGTAGTAAACCTTTAATCCCAACCAGACCTCAGAGTAGAGATTGTACCAAACCAGCACCCCGCTTCACTCACCAGACGCTTCACGTTGTCAAAACAGCTCCCACTCTCACGCGGGCACGAGCTCCAACTTTTCAATCCCTACTTTCTCAATGCTCGCACTGAGGCACACGCACGCACGCACACGCGCGCCGTTGCTTTGTCTCTCAGACTCAAATGTAAACCATATTCCAACGTTAAACGTGTCACGTCCGCTCGTTTAAAGTTTAAAGTTTAAAATAAATAACTAAATAAGTAACTATGATGTCTTGTATTCTTAAGCTATGTATTTAAAATACACTACTTTTTTTAGATCTACCATGCACAAAGTATCGGTATTGGATCGGTATCACCGATAACAGCCTGAATTTTACTCAGTATCGGATCGGAAAGGACATCTGTGGTATCAAACATCACTATGATGAGCTAAAAACTCCATATCCCACAATGCTCGGCACGCCTGATATAAATATCGCGAGACTGCCCGCGTCACGGAGCAACTGACTGCGGTGGGTGGTGCCAGGGAGGGACTACTATCTGTATCGAACAGTTCCACGCCAGATAATGCCAAAATAATCGGCAGACCGCGCTCACCGTTTCCGCGCTGTTTAGCCGCTGATAAGAGTCGACGCCGCGACATGGCCGAGACGGACCCCAAGTCGGTGCAGGACCTCACCAACGTGGTAAGTCGCGAGAAAGCAGAGATAGCGAACTAGCATTAGCCGCGGTAGCCTAGCTAGTGTCGACGGCCACTCCGCTCACGGCAACGCGAATGCTAACGGCGCTAAGCTACTAGCGAAGGCTACAGCACATCGGTGGCAGTTATACGTTTTGTTTTTACAATTAGAACAGGCGTGTAAGCTCTGCTTGTTGTTGGAATGCATAAAGCATTCTAAGTATTGTTCTTCGAATCTTTATTTCTTCAGCTTCTTCTTCTTTTTCTTCTTCTATTTCTTCCGCGGCACCTTTCAACTCCTTCACACTTTCAGCTATTAAAACTGTTCAAATATTATAATATTCAACTCCTTTCCGGCTTTCCTGCTATGACTTTTCAGCTTTCTACCTCTTATGCTTGAATTTATATAAATCAATAATCATCAATATTTTAACATGGTTTTCCAAAGGAGATCAATTTCAAATCCTCTAAACTTTCAAATGTTGACACAAGTCTCAACTATTTTATAAATATCTATTTATTTATATCTATTGTACTTTTTCATAATCATGCTAATGTTTCACTAGTTCTTCGCTCCGTTTCTGACTTTTACATGAGTGTGTATTGCGTCTGCCAGTGGGGGACCTCGAGGGCTAGAGCGTGGGGCAGCGTCAGAATCTGGTTAAAAAAATATGGAACTTCTGTCCTTGCAGCCAAAGTATACACTTTTGAGGCTTAATTTCTTCAGATTAATGAGGGCATGGTTGTGCTGATTGGATTAATGTGTTCATAGAATCCCAGAGTTCTTTAGTTTTGGTTTAAGGAGTGTTAGAGTGACACAACCTCTGCCAAAAGCCCCGTAGGCTCCAATACAAATCTGCCGACATATTTCTCAAAAAATCCAGAAGGTACACGTTTTGTAAACTGCGACAGGAGCCGCATTTATTACCGGACAGACATAAAAACGCATCCATGCGTTCGGTAGAGTCTTGGGTCCCGTATTTTTTAGATAGCTGTTATAGTTTTGCGCTGGTGAACACTTGTTTGAGGTGTGGATTCTGTGTAACTCGCTGTCCTGTGTCTGCCCTTTGCAGCAGCTCCTTAACGAGCCCAGGTGCGCCGTTGCCGTGGTTACTCGCACACACGCTGCAGTATCTCTGTCTGTGACTCACAGCTGCTCCTATGACCTGATTAGTGGAGTCACATGACGCAGCTATGCTTTCTGTCAACAGACCAATATGATGAAGACACTCCTCCCCCCTCCACCATTACCTCTTCTCACATTTAATCACTCACTCAGTCAGTCTGTCTGTCTATTTCTCCTCCCCTCTCCCTCTCTATCTCTTCCTCACCACCCCTCCCTTCCTCACCCTCCACACCCTCCCTCCCTTTATCTACACCCCCCCACCCAATCCAATAGGTGCGCCGTTGCCGTGGATACTCGCACACACGCTGCAGTATGCTCCTATTACCTGATTAGTGGAGTCACATGACACAGCTATGCTTTCTGTCAACAGACCATGATGAAGACACTCGCCCCCCCCCCCACCCTGACCTATTCTCACTGTTAATCACTCAGTCAGTCTGTCTGTCTATTTCTCCTCCTCTCTCTCTTCCTCTATCTCTTCCTCACCACCCCTCCCTTCCTCACCCTCCCTCCCTCTATCTACACCCCCCCACCCCACCCAGTCCAATAATTACAAAATAAAAGCCCCATGGAGGGAATTTTTACTGTAATGTTTGTGATGAGGCCTATTAATTAAAAACATTCTGTCTCCCAACCCCCCCTCACCCAATTCCATCATTACAAAATAAAAGCCTCAATGATTATCTCTACCTTAACCATGAAGCTCAGAATGAAGGGGTTTCGTTGAAATACGTATTGCTATTTCAAATACTACTACAACCTCTAAGCATGTTACTAGTACTTCTAGTAATACTACAACTGATACTTCTACTACTATTTTTTATATAGCTGTTATAGTTTTGTGCTGGTGGACACTTGTTTGAAGTGTGGATTCTGTGTAACTCACTGTCCTGTGTCTGCCCTTTGCAGCAGCTCATTAATGAACCCAGAGCAAATGACCAACAGAATTAAGTGCCGTGGTTATTCGCACACATGCTGCAGTATCTGTCTGTGACCCACAGCTGCTCCTATGACCTCATTAGTGGAGTCACATGACGCAGCTATGCTTTCTGTCAACAGACCAATATGATAAAGACACTCGCCCCCTCCACCCTGACCTCTACTCACTGTTAATCACTCAGTCAGTCTGTCTAATTATCCTCCTCTCTCCCTCTCTATCTCTTCCTCACCACCGTTATTTTTTAGATAGTTTTTTAGACAGATAGTTTTGCGCTAGAGGACACTTGTTTAAGGTGTGGATTCTGTGTAACTCGCTGTCCTGTCTCTGCCCTTTGAGCAGGTGCTCCGTTACCGTGGATACCAGCACACACGCTGTAGTTTGTCAGTTGGTCAGTTAGTGTCACACAGCTGATCCATAATAGTTGATTAGTGGAGTCACATGACGCAGATATGCTTTCCCCCCTCATTCTCCCCCTCTCTCCCTTCCTCCTCCTCTCTTTTCTGTTTCTCTCCTCTTTCTTCCTCCTTCTCTTCTTTCTCCTCCACTCTTTCCATTCTTCCCCCTCTTCCCTCCGCACTATTCCATCCTTCCTCCTCCTCCCCTT